ACTTTTTCACACACAACCCAGTTCTGCGGAATCAGAATCAACGTTGAGTTTAAGCAAGCGAATGAGCCAATTGGAGTAAAGTGCCATGCAGATTTAAATTTTTCCCACTTGTGACGAATGCAGCTATCGATTTTTTTGCATGCTAGCATTCTAGTTAACATTCGTGTTCAGTCAGCTGTTGGCTCTCATGCTGGCCAATAGAATTTTCCTGCCTATTCATGGCAGCCAGCTATAGGCTCTCACTCTGGCCAGTACGAAATGGCCGCAAACTACATGAAAACTGCCGTAGAAGCATGAAAAAATTGATTATTTCCACTATCGATGGGAGTTGGGAAATGCAAAGTCGGTCTTGGCATTTCCACTAACTTCCAGCATGTGCATGTAAATTATGGTGCAAATCCGTCGAAAATTGCGGCCGTGCATTCGTTACACACACACACACAGAGACACGCACACACACACATCCTGCCTTTTATAGATAGAGATATATTTCCACCGGTTAACGTTTTGAAAATATTTTAAACCAATAAACAACAATTTAAAAATATAGTTCCATCTCAGTTATATTCTTTCTTTCTTTTTATGTGCCATATCCTTTTAGGACGTAGGAGATCATGGCTCTCAACCTCTCTCTATCCCTTGCAGTTCTAAACAAGTTCCTTCCCTCTCCTTCCTCCCCTAGGCCACGTTCTGTTATCCCCTTGCTTAAGCCCGCCAGGTATGTCACGCCTTGTTTTCCTTGTCTCTCTTTCCCTCTATTCGATCCGTGAGTATCAGATTCTCCAGGCCCCCACTCCCTCATTATGTGTCACAGAAACTTCATCTGCCTCTTCCTGGTGTTAAGTATATACCTTCTCCTTGATTGCAACCTCTCTAAGACGTCATCGCTGTTCACACATTCGGTCAATGATATGCTTAGCATCCTTCTGTAGAACCACATCTCCGTCGCCTCGAGTCTCTTCTTCATCTTTGAGGAAATCGTTCAACATTCGCTGCCGTAAAGAAGGATAGATGCCACGTAATTGCGCAGTATTCTTTTCTTTGTTACCAAATAAATCCTCCTATCTCGCAATACTCCGCCCAGCTTTTGGAATGTGTCCTTGGTCATCTCATCACTTCTACGGGAACTCAGTGTCGCACTTACCGTCTTCTGTCAAAACGATTCCCAGATATTTAACATTCTGTGTCTGCTTGATTCTAGTGTTCCCGACCTGTAAACCACATTTCGGGCTAATCCTTTTATAGATGACCATGCATTCTGTCTTCTTGTAGTTTATGTTTAGTCCTTTCTACTCACTCTTCGTGGCTACATTTTCCCTAAAAGTAATTTTTTTAAAAATATAATTCAGTTGCCCCCACAAAAAAAAAAAAAAAAAAAAATCGAATATCAGTTCTATTACAAAAATAACTTTGGGAAGAAAAAAAATCAATTCGAAACTGCAAATTTACTGTTTTTCTTTAAGCATGTCATTGGTACGTGTTTTCTTCTCCAGCGCATAGGAAAATTAGAATAAAAATAAATAAATAATTCTCTTTAGTTTCACTTTTTTTTTACTCTTTTTAAGACAGTCGCGGGAATATCAGCTGAAAACTTCTCTTGCAAATCTAATCAACAGCAAGATTACAGAATCCGCATGAAAAGGTCAGATGAAGGACTTTTTTCTTCTTGCTTAAATTATGTGTAAGAAAAAGAAAAACAATTGCAAAATTCAGGTTTTTTACCTTCTTGCTTTCTTTCATGATGCTTCCAGAAACGAAAGGATATTGAAATCGCGCAGATTAGCTCCCACGATCTCTGGGTGGCGTGCAATTTGCAAGAATTATCTTTAGAAATTGGGCCTTTTAATGGAATTTGGTTTAATCTTAGAAAATTAAAAGTTTTAAAACTTCTACAAGATTTTTATATGACGCGAAATATTTTTTTATTTGCAATCAATAGAAGTTTATTAACTGCAGATTTAATCTTCAAAAGTGGAATTTAAAATATATATATATATATATATATATATATATATATATATATATATATATATATATATCAATCCGGACGAAGGAATCTATAATCGGCCACATCTGCGGTTTGCAACTCAAAGAATCTCAGACCAACAACCGAAAATAAAAGCAAAACACATATAAGAATTACATGGAGAGCACACCTGAAAAAAAGTACTTTCTTGTAATTGCCTCCCAGAACAATGGATAAAAATAAATAATACAAAACGAATAAAACTATAAGGACAAATTCAGAAGACAAATTAAATGTAGCCTTTGCGGAGAAATAATAACAAAAAAAGACTGGAAAACACATTAGACGAGAATAATGCAAACGGAATCTTAAACAAAGAATACAATAAAATACTTAAGACAGAAAAGGAACAATGATACACACAGAAAATCCACACGGGAAGAAGGTTTTCAGTATTTAAATCAAATCCTATCCGCATAAACTCGGAGCTATATGAGAAAATGAACAGAATATGTGCAGCTTTAAGATTTTGACATCTAGACCAACCTTCCCATCTGAACCAAGAAAATCGGATTTGATAGTCGTAAATAAATATGGAAAACTGAGGGATAGTTGATATAATGCATAAAAAGCTAAAAATGAAAGAATAAATAATTCGAAGAACATACCTATAATATATGTCGCATCTGGAAACATGCAAGATAATAATAATAATAATAATAATAATAATAATTTAACCTACTCTACATGGATAATCTCAAAATCTTTGACGAAGACAACAATGAGCTAAAGGGTCTCCTCAATATTGTAAAGTCTTTCAGTGACCATATAGGTATGGATTTTGTATAAAATAAATATCCAAGTAACATTCAAGAAAGGGAGAAACACACTCAATAGATCTAGATTTTGTCACAAGGATTTGGGAACTGGAACAAGAAGAATCCTATAGGTTCTTAGGGATTTGCGAAGGAGATGGAATACTGCATAACCAAATGAAGGAGAAAGAAAAGAATACTACGGACGTGCGCGTCTGGTATTGAATACCGAATTGAATAAAAATGAAACAGAATATCAGTCATAAACATCTAGGCTATCACAGTGGTGCAATGCAGTTTCCACATCCTTAAATTGACCATAGCTGACATTAAGCGAATGGACACCGAATCGTTTATGCTTCTCACTTGCTATCGCATGCACCATCCCAAAGCTGATTTTGATCATTTATATGTACCCAGATACGAAGGAGTCAGATGATTAGTTCAACAGGAACTGCCTTACAAAAGTAGAACAACTGGCCTTCAAATATACCTGGAAACTAGAGGAGACTGGATGATAACCTGTATCAAATAACATGAAAGAAATAAGAAACTTTATTCAGCAATAAAGGAAGCCAACAAGAACAAAATATTTCAAGTGGGTGAAGAAATGCAAGTAAAACATAATACACATAACGTAGCGACAAAACAAAACTTAAAGATAAAAAAAAGCAAAGCCAAATGCAATGGACCAGATACAAAAACGATGGCACGATAAACCTCTTCACAGTCAATATTCTGCCCGCATCTAAAAAGATGATGAAGACAAACCCCGCACCCACCATTGGCCACGTAGTGAAAAGTTAAAACTTGAAACCGGAGTTTTTGTTCTTGCTGCACAAGACCAATGCTTCCGAACTAGAAATTACCAAGCACACATACTGAAAAATTATGTTAGCCTAAAATGCAGATTCTGTGATAAATATCCAGAAACAATGAAGCATCTTGTATCAGGGTGCACAGTATTAGCACCCACTGAATATAAAACCCGGCGTAACAATGTGGACCATGTCTGCATTGGAAATTGTGTATCTTTCACGGAAAGTAAACTGCAAGAAATTTGTCTGATCACCAACTAGACACGGTTAGAGAGATAGGAACAATTTTATAGGGCTTTGCAATACACAGAAACAGAACAATGAATGCTAATCGCCAGACATCATGATCAGAGACCGCAAAAACAAAATGTTCTTTCTTAATGTCATGGCAATCCCTGAAAACTGTAATGTATCTTTGAAGATCTTACACAAACTATCAAAATACAAGGATTTTGAAATCGAAATCTAAAAAAAAGGTGGCACATGAGGACATCAATTCCAGTTGTATTTGAAGCCCTCGGATTGATTGGGCAATGTTCCGATAGGCTAATTGAACTGATTCAATGACAATGTTCCGATAGACTAATTGAACTGATTCAAAGCCTTAAAGAAATAGGAAACATTGTACTCACAAGTATAACTCATACCTTACCGAGGGCTTTGTCTATGTAAAATATGTGTGATCTTATTTTTTTCTTCAAAAAATGCTCAGTGAAAAATTACATGATACCATTTCTTGATAGGTACAGTCCACACACAAAGAACTTTGTCCATGTAATACTAGTCATGTTATGGGAGTTAGAAAAGCAAATCATGAAATGTAGCCATGACAACAAACCACTTATGTTTTTCCCGCAGACTTGGTAAGTAGTGTGACCATAGAAAAAAATCGAAATATATTAATAATAATAATATTAATAATAATAATTATTATTATTACTATTATTACTATTATTATTATTATTATTATTATCTGCGCAATATGGTGACAGGTTTTGATAAAATGTAGTACGCATAATCTTTCAGATGGGGCACAGTTGGAAATAACTTAAACTGATAAGTAACAAAAGACATGAAGACGTGAAGCGCCATGTTGGCGAATGTCTTTAAGAGATTCTTGCGAATCCGGTAAAATCAATATCCTCAAATCTCCAGCAACTTTCTCAGTATCCTCGTTGACCCAAGTCATTCGTCCCATTACCATTCCTCTTTGCCGCTGTTCTGCTATACATTCAAAGAACTTATTTAGGCAGATAATTCGTTGTTCCGCTGTGGTTCGTTTGCCTTCAATTTGTCATGTGAGTATTAAATTCTCTAAACCCACTTTCCTCTTTAAAAGTGTAAGTCTAGGTTTCGTTTCCCGTCTGCTTCTGGTTTACTCTTGGTTCACAT